CCATGCCCATTAATTATGCAGAAGCTGATTTCCAGACAGGTAATACAGCCAGTCAGAGACAAAACTGGGACTTGAGGCAAAGTTCTGTCAAGTCTAATATTCTTCCTACTACACAACATGCTTGATTTTATGATTGGCCTAAAAATTTTAAGCGTATATGACTTATTTGGGCCAAATATATTATTTTAAGTCATTACCATGTTATGTTTTTTTAATAACAAGGTGAAAACAAAATTGGCAATCAAGAGATAGCAGCATAGGGTAGTAGAAAGACAATATAAGCTTCATAGCAGGATAGCTTTAAATTTGATTTGGGCTCCCTAATTCACTAGCTATGTTCTGTTGGGCAGGTTGCTTAACCTTTCTGAGGCTGTCACTACCTGAGAGTACAAAGAATTAGAAGCAGTGGTATGTATAAAGCATCTGACATATAGTAGGTGCTCAATATATATGGGTTTCCACTAATTCTAACCTACCACAAAAGAGCTGTGCCACTCAAGCAAGTTCCTTTAGGCCTTTGGGTCTTGTTTCCTCCATTGCAAATTGAGAAGATGAAAGAAACCAAATGAATTCCTACGTCCCTTTCAGCTTGTCAAAAAATAATTAGTTCCCGGGCACCTGGGTGGCTCAGTTGGTTAAGCGACTGCCTTCGGCTCAGGTCATGATCCTGGAGTCCCTGGATCGAGTCCCGCATCGAGCTCCCTGCTCAGCGGGGCGTCTGCTTCTCCCTCTGACCTTCCCCTCTCTCATGCTCTCTCTCTCTATCTTATTCTCTCTCTTAAATAAAAAATAAATAAAATCTTTAAAAAATAATAATAATTAGTTCCCAAAGTTTCCTTTACTTTAATTTAACTTCAACACTTAAGTACCTTATGTCCATCCTAAGCACTGAACAGTACCAACTACCACCAGGAAGATATCTATGATTTCTGCAGAATGGGATCCAACTCCATATCACTTTAAGTTCCACAAAGAAAAATAACTATGCAAAACCAAGGGACTTAAAGGAAAATTTCTACAACAACATCACAAACCTAATGTAATAAATATAAACAACTGAGGATATACCTTAAATTATTACTCTCTCTTTTGCTGAGTTGGAAGATGAGAACTAAAATGTTTATGCTATATAACAAATGACCTAAGAGACATTTGGTTAGAGTAATGCCATTTTTTGAAAAAAAAAATGAGTAATAAATTTCTCTTCCAATGTGAGTCTTTTTTAAAAGATTGATTTATTTATTATTTGGGGGGGAGCACCAGGAGAGTCAAGTGGACCCCCTGCTAAGCGCAGAGCCCAACACAAGGCTTAATCCCATGACCCTGAGATCATGACCGGAGCAAAAGCAAGAGTGGGGAGGCCCAATGGATTGAGACACGCCCCCCCCATGTGAGTCTTAAACTAGGCTTTGAAATTTAAGAAACTTTTATCATTTGGAAACCGAGGGGAATAAAATTTACTCAGAGGTATTTTACAGTCACATTAATATAAGAAAGTGGTTAACCATGTTCTCACATTACTTTTGAATTTCATGTTTGGGATTTACGTTTTCTAAAAAATAAAATATAATATAATTTAAATGCTTGAATCTTATAAGCAAGACTTGAGAAAATACTAACTGATCTTAAATGAAAATTTTAACTACAAAGTTTTTCTTCCTTTTCTCTTCCATAAGAAAATTATCAATGGGATTTTCATTACAGATAAGGCTTTTTGCAAATAACATTGTGGATGTTCAAAATATATTTAAAATCAAATGTAGAGCCCTTTTTTTTAATTTCTTTTTTTTTTAAGATTTTATTTATTTATTTGACAGAGAGAGACACGGCGAGAGAGGGAACACAAGCAGGGGGAGTGGGAGAGGGAGAAGCAGGCTTCCTGCTGAGCAGGAAGCCCGATGCGGGGCTTGATCCCAGGACCCTGGGATCATGACCTGAGCCGAAGGCAGATGCTTAACGACTGAGCCACCCAGGCGCCCCCATATGTAGAGCTGTTAATCACAGTTTCCCAAAAATTCATTAGAGGTTTGCCCTGTACCATGCCTGTACAGTATTATTCACCTATATTATAGAATTTTAGAATGTACATCTTAGATCATAAAACACCACCACCACCAACAACAACAACTAAAAACCTTTGCCTTATATGAGTAGGAAGAGACAGGAAAGACCCATTTAAATATTATCTCAAATGTGTGAAATAAACAATATAGTATTTTTTAATTCAACAGCTGTGTTCTATGAGCTGATTCTTTTTTTGTCCTAAAATGTGATGAAGAGTAAACTCTGTTCCCCAGCATGCACTGTATGCAAAGGTTAAGAGAGCCACAGAAATATGATTTAGGTCTATATGTATCAAGCATAGTGTGAACCAGAGATAGAAGGCCTAGATCCTGCTTTTGTCATTACTATAAAATTGATTTGTGATTTGGACAGGTCACTTCACCTTTTTAGTTCTGTCTCTTTACCTATGAAACAACAGGAGGAACCATCTGATCTCTAAGATTTCTTCCAGTTCCTATAATTAACATCTGTGCAAATCCTCAGTACAGCATTTGAGGGGCACGAGACATGGGGCAAAGCACTCACAGGAGGGCACTTACTCTGCTCTCCATACATACTGCGAGGACGAACCAGCTTTTCAGAGAGCCAAATACTAAATGGCCTGGCTTCATGCCTTGGCTAAAGAACACCATTGATGACTATGAAAGCACTTAAAGGAACTCAGCCAGAGGAAACAAACCACTTTCTGAATGTAGCCCAAAAAGTAGGTAGGGGGCGTTTAAGCCCTCACAACCTCAGACCCTTTGTGTCCTTGGCCTTTCATCCTGGCTGGCAGAAGGCACTGAGTTTATTTAGGTGACTCATGCTTTCTTAGATTTTCTTAAGATAAATTATTCTGAAAATGAATGGTTCTCCTCCTTGATCCCGCATCTGACCCTTAAAAATACATATATTTTTATGCAGCATTCTTAGGACACCTTCATAAAATAGAGTTCAGCATAGTGGTTAAAAGTATGCAGTGGGCTCAAATCCTGGCTCTACTACTTACCTGCTGTGGGATCTTAACCTCTCCCTGCTTCAGGTTCCTTTTCTGTAAAATAGGGAAACTAATAAAACCTAACTCATAGAGTTGTGACAATTAAGTAAGATAATGCATGCAAAGCAGTTGCAGAATCTGACAGAAAGTAAATGTTATAGATTATAGATACGTAGATAGATGACAGATAGATACACAGACAGACAGATAACAGATGACAGATTAATCCTGGGAACTGGGTCTCCCTAAAAACACTTATCCGAAGGCCGCAAACAATTTGCTGGCAGTGAATGGCATCTGCTGATCTTTCCGCTTCTCAGCAAACAATATGGCAAAGACTCAAAGCTCGGCTCAGCTCTTACTAATAGGATCCTGCAGAAATCAGGAGGAAATGAGATTATCCTGAAAGCAGGGAAGAGTTACCCTGGTTTAAGACAAGGTCTTTAAAAGAGCTAGAAACACATGCAGACATGTGCACATGCACACACGCACATTTAATACAGTCATACAGAATCAGAGAAAGTGGGTTTTTTGTTTTGCTTTTTGTATATGCCTTCTCACATGTTGCTGGCATTAAAAGCTACAAAATTTTATAGCTAGATGGCTCCCTGGAGACCATCTAGTTCAACTCCCTCACTTGGTAGATAAGTAGCTGAGGCCCAGAGAGGTTAAGCAACTTACTGGGGGACATCCAGCTGTAAATGACAGTGCCAGGACAAGCTTTCTGATTTCCCCTTTTGCCCACCCAGTACTCAGCCTGGTATCTTTCACCAGCTCAGCACACTGTCCCTTTTGTGCCAAACAGAGCATTAAGGTGCACACACACACACCCTCAGGTTTCTCACTTTTGTCTAAGTTCCCAAAAAGTACAGAAGCAACCTCAACCACCAAGACCTTCTTGCCAGAGCCTCCCATCTTGGAAACTGAGGAGGATCCCAGTCAATCTGTAGCCCTCTCCCAGGCTGTCTTCGGAGTTTCTACTCTTCCCTTTGCGTTCCTTCCTCACATCCATTCTAAAGTGCTATTTCTTAGACATTCCTCACCAAAAAGGTCAGGCATTTCCCAGGACAGAAGTTGCCCCAGCTAATTTGCAAATTCTTCATCTCCCCACAAATGCTATACTTTTAAACAAGAAATACAGAAGAACTGTGATTAAATTTCCAACAAGCTCCCCAAGTGAATTCAGTCAGAACTAATGCCGTCCTTCCTAAGATAACTCAATCAGGTTCATTTATAAAGTGTGTGAGTAGGTGAAGGACTGGAGAACCCTCAGGTATGCCTGACACAGAGAACAGGAGGAAGAGGGGAAGGAAAGGAGACTGGGGGGAAGAGGGAGATGGGAAGGAGGAGGAGCACACTGACCAAACTGCAAAGTCTGGATCCTGGAAACAGCTATACTGCTGAGACTGACTCACTGCTGAGGGGATAGAACTGCAGAGGGGATGTACTGTGTTAATCATACCCCCTCTGGTGACTAACAGCAGACTGGTGCCCCGAACTACACACATAGGAAGCAGGCGGAGGCTATCCCTAAGTGGCAGAAACGAGGAACTCTGTCTTCTTCTTGCTCCCTTTTCTCTCATCCAGTGCTGGCCACTCCATGCCTGGCAGACACACCCAAGCTCTCCAGCTTCCTACGAATCACCCCCAGACTGGGAACTCCCCTCCCTGATCTCCTGAGGGTTTAAAAGAAGCGTAGGGCATCAGATATTTCTCTCAACTCTGCCAAATGCTCCCCAGTCCCTTGCCCCTTGCAGGGAAACTGATCTGAGAGAAGCTTTCACTGAGCTGACAAAGGTAGGGCGCTTCTTGTCCCTAAGCACAGGCGCCGGTGAAAGGTGTCCCTCAGCCTGGGTCTCTGCTTTGAGAGTGGGAGGCATTAAGTGTCACAGCCAAGTGTTCCTTCCCGGAGGCGAAACCAGAAGGAAGGCTTTGCTTTAGCCTTTTTTCCACTCCCTACCTGAATTCCGGGACCAGGTTAGGCTGCAACCCGTAGAAAGCAGCGGACAGAGTGACCAGCCACCCAGGCTTGTAACTCCCGTTCTCGCACTCCAGATAAGGCGGAGACCACTTGACGTGGCTCTTGTCCCCGCCAAGCCCGTCCCTGCGCCGCCAGCTATGGCCCAGGCTCCGGGGCCCCTGATTGGAGCCGCGGCGGTGTAAGTGGGTCCTCCACTTGCGCCGCAGGCCGTGGAACCACTCGGTCTCCAGCGTGGCGTTGGCCAGGTGGTGTGCCGAGGAGGACAGGTCCTGGAGCAGGATGCGGCTCTCTTCGCGGGTGGCCTGGAGGAAAACCTGCGGGGCCGGCGCGGACAGCGACTCGGTGCTGAAGGTGATGGCTGCCCGGGAAATGCTGGGCTCGCCCTCCAGGAGACTCCGCACCAGTGCCTGGTACCACTCCAGGTCGTCCTGCAAGTTCTGCTCCCTCGACTTATTGCTCTGCAGCATCATGTTGAGGAAGTTAGTGGCGTGTGTCAGCGTGTCCAGCGCCCCGTGCAAGGAGGGATGGGAGCTGGCTAGGGCTGACGACTTCCCCGGCAGGCCCGCCAACTCGTAGCGGCCGGAGCAGTTGGCTCGCTTCAGCTGGTGGGAGTCCCCGGTGTAGAGGTAAGAGGCCACGTCCATGGGCACCTCCTCGGCGAGTTTCTGCGCCAAGATGGTGCCGTCGGTGGAGCGGCTCCAGGGAGCCGAGGGGTCCGAGGCAGAGGCTCGAGCCGGCTGCTGGGCGTGCTGCTTCAGCCTCAGGGTTCTCTCTCGAGGGGAATCCAGCCGTCCCGGAGGGTCGCGGCTGGTGCTAACAGTTCCCAATCCCAGATGAGCGAGCAGGAGGCAGAAGAGTAAGGGATAAGCCATGGCTCCCATCTGCTTCACAGAGACGAAAGGAGGTAACGGGAGACACTTTTTAAAAATTTGGTCGTCAGTTTATCAACAGTAAGACTTTTACTAGGAGTCGGCTCCCTTCTCCAGACGGCACCCAGTCGAAAAGGACTTTAAAATAAGAGTGTTTCGGAATCGGCCCGGCTGGTTAAGCTACCGTCACAGGAAATCAAATCACCTGTGGCAACGCCGGCTGCACCCGTTCCATAATGGGTCGGCTCGGGATTACGCACCTCACAGCCTTCAGCCGAACAGGTCACATCCCCTCTCGCTCCCGGCGGCTATAGTTAGCCTGCTTACGTCTTTCTGCTCAGCAGCTTCCACCGTCGCTCTCATTGAGGTGTGTTCAAGAGCTGCTGCTGCTGCTGCTGCCGCCGCGGCCGCCAAAGACGCGGCTCCATCATCTCACCCGTGGCAGGTCGTTCCCGCCTCCCGGCACTGGCTCCTCCTCGTTCGCTTCGCCGGGAGGCGCGGAGTGCGCGCACACAGATCCGCACCGCGAGCGCAGGACTGAGTCCAGGAGAGCGAAGATTTCTTTTAAGACGTTTGTCTCTCTGGAGTTTATAGGACCAGGCAACTGGTTAATTGGAGCCCTCAGGTCTGGCCACAAGCCACACTCCTGTCTCCCCCTGCTCTGGAGGAAAGCCGGTTTAAAGAGGCAGCTTGGCCGCAACCAAACCCTTGAGGGGCGGCCCCAAGCCGTCTTGTTCTCTGTTTGGTCGGCTCCTCTGTCAATCAGCCCACTGCCGTTTGTTGGGCTGGGGCGGGAGCTGTCCAGTGCTGAACCCGAGGCGGCACGGAGGAGGCGCAGGAGGAGGCGGTGGCTCGGGATGCAGCAGCGCGGAGTTCTTTCACCCACTCGCGTTCCCTGACGACTCGGAAACCTGAGGGGGTGGGGGAGGGGTGGGCGGGAGTGAAGGGAGAAGCAGCGCGTTTGTGGCTCAGAGAGAAGGAAACTTGGACGTACTGAAGAGGAGGGTGTTGGCGTCTTGCATGCTTAGTTAAATCAGCCTTTTCTTTTGCCTGGAAAAGAGGGAGAAAGGAGTTTTCATTTCTGACTTAAATCGAAGGGGAGGGACGTAGGATGGAGACGTGTCCTCCCGAGCATCTGCTCATTTGGGGCAAATCATCAAATCCTCCTCCTTATTGTAGGTTAAAGAAATGATTAAAACCAACTTGCCGAGGTCTTAGTTATGAGGGAGTAATGGAGACATCTACCGGCTGAGCTTCAAGAAAAAAAAAATGTTGTATTTAAGGAACCTCTGCCTGAAAGGGGGCCAGGTTGGGGGGGAACCTGTGAAAGTGTATGGAAGTGAATATGTGAAGGGAGAGACATGTACTAAGGGTAGGACTCAGATGTGAGAGAATGAGAATGAGTGAGTCTGTGCTGAGTGAGGAGGGAAGTCATTCTGACTGGGAGTTTCTAGAATTAATGCGTGTAAGAACTAAGATATCCAGTTACCTATAGGTTGGGATATCCCAGCAGAAGAAAGAAGAGATACAGAATAATATGTATAATAATAATAAGCTGAATAATATGCCAAGTCCCCCCCCCATTATTGGGAAATCCTTTAACAGAGTCTAATTGTTTTACTTGAAACTTTAAGGAGGTCTTCTGATATTTTGAAAATACTAATTACTACTGGATATGTAGTGTTTTATGCATCTCCACTTTCCATAGGCACCTTTGTTTTCAAATTCCCCAAGAAAGATACAAAGAATCCCAAATTCATTTCAGTTCCCAACCAACAAAAATGTCACTGGTGGCATTTTGAGATAGCACTGCTTAGATTTACTTTATCATTTCATTCCATTCTCCTTGTTGAGAAAATACCTGAGCACTGAAATGTAAGTTCCAAAGAGGAAATGGTTGTTTGTATTGGTCACTTTAGTATCTTGAGCACCTAGAACAAACAGAACTGCCTGGTACATAGTAGGTTCTCACTAAATATTTGCTAAATTAATGAATGAACCAGAAGATCATGATGATGAAGCTAATTATTTAAAAATTCATATCCTTACCTAAGAAGAAAAGTCTGCCTGATATGCCAGTGACAAGGACTTTTGGAATGAAACATAGTAATGAGTTTTCCAAACTACAGCATATGGTCTTCAAGTGAATTTTTATACTTATACAAAGAATGGTTACTAGATTTATACTTATTTAAAAGTAGATTTAATGTTCATATCCGGCTTTTTGTTTGAATTTTGCTTTGCAGTGTGTACTCCTTTGCTAAATAAATGTCATCCCAGTTTAATGCTCTACTATAGCATATATGGCAGTAATAACAGAAGGAGTTTCCATTTGTTTAATTTATCAGAGTATACAATATGATTTTCAATCTATATAACCAGCTAAGGACTGAAATGTAATTTCCTCATTAATTGATATTCTTAGAAAACATACACAATTTATTAACAGTTCTTTAAAATTGTCCAGTATGGCATTTAAAAAAAGAGGATATAATTTTATTAGTAGGTCCCTCTATAAGTAATTAAATGACTGAGCATAATTAAAAGATTTGGGTTCTGGTACCAACATTCTTCTAAACAAGATTTATGATCACTGGCAAGACATTTAAAGTTTCTGTGTCTTAGGACACAAATTTTATCTGGCCTTTATGACTTAACACTGAAGGAGTACTGAATGGTACCTAAGCCACTCTCCAGAGGTGCCAGACCTCCCCTAGCTAACATCTATCAAGAAAAGATGAGGCTTTTGCAATTTTAGCATTTCCTTCAGTGGTTCACCTTCAGTCTATACTGCCAATAACTGAGGTAGACTAGTTGGGTCTAGAACAGCACTGCCAAAAATAGAAATATAATGTGAGCCACAGATGTGATTCATATATATAATCTTAAATGTTCCAGTAGCACATTTAAAAAGTAAAATTAATTTTAATAATATATTTTAATTAGCCCAATATGTCCAAAATAATATTTCAATAAGTAAATAATATAACAATCATTAGTGAGGTATTTTACATTTTTATACTAAATATTCAAAATCCAGTGTATATTTTACACCCACAACACATGGCATTTCACACTAGTCACATTTCCAGTGCTCAATAACCACTTGTGACCAGAGGCTACCACAGGATACAAGCTCAAGAAGATAGTACATTGTGGTCTTGAATGTTCTAGAAAGCCTAGGTACACACAAGATAAGGTACCATGGTCCAAATGCTCTAGGAGGCCTGGTCCATTTAATAGGTTTGAAATCAAGGTAACTGAGTAGTAGAAAACCCTTTGTCAATGTCAGTGTCCATCAATGAAGGAAATAATCCAAAAGAGGTTTTTATAAGAGACAAAGATTTAACACATATTCATACATCTCTAAACAAATTACAAAATTCCACACCAACTCACAAAGACATCATTCACTCAACATGTGTTGATTGAGCTTCTACTATTTACCAGTCATTAGGCTTGCTATTGTCTGCACAATAGAAACATGGACCTTACAATCAAATGTGTAGAGAGAGGGATAATAAAAAAACAAATTAAGAAATTACATAGAGTGGTAAGTGCCATGAAGAAATAAACACTGTAAAGTGATAAAACCTGCAGGGTATGGGGGCAGGGACCTTCTTATATAAAGAAATAAAGAAAAGAACGACTTCTATGAAAAGGTAACAAATGAGCTGAGACTTCAAGAATGAGGAGCAGTTAGCTAGGTGGTAGATTGTAGTGAAATAGCTAGAGGTAAAATGGAAAGAAACTTACCTCAGTTAGAGGGAGTAATATATGAGTACACCAAGACTACAAATATTCCATTTTTGACAGGAAAGAGGGCTGGAAGAAAATAACTTCAATAACCTGAAGTTCCTATGTAATATAACAAGTACAAACAACTGAGACAAAAAGAAAATCATTTTATAAAACAGTCAAATGATTCTGGAATGAATAGCACCCACCCCCAACCCCACCACCACACCAATTAAGTGAATGTAATTTGTACATATAGATAAATACCCCTGTGTGGCCTCAAAATTAAGAATGAAGTTGTCCAAATACATGTTGATACCATGTAGGAGCTTGACCATAATAGAACAATGCATACAAGACCTGTCAGCCCTCTGCAAAAAGTCCCAAAGCTTTTTCATCACAGCCTGAGAAGTCAATCTAATTGCCTGAGAATGATGAAATGTGCACTGATGAAAAAGCAATATGCAATGGAGTCATGAGTTATTAGTTGTCATATGACTGATTTATCAATAAAAAAGATGTGATGTCTGCGTATCTTGTGTGTGTGTGTGTGTGTGTGTGTGTGATGTTTGCATATCTTTAAGAAAAAGAAATTAAAGGAGGTCAAAAACTGCTGAGACCAGATTTTATGTGAGCAGTATGGGTAGAGTTATTTAAAAAATTTAAGTGCTGCTTTAAATCATTTAAATCAGCAAGGATTAGGAGAGTGGGATATAGTAAAAGGACACTGAATAGGCAGTTGGGAGACCAAAATCTACGCTTGGCTGTGCCATCATCCAGTCACGTGACTTTTGACAATTTCCTCAACCTCTCCGAGCCCTTTTGCTTCATCTGTACCATAAGAGTGATGTGTAAGATATATCCACAACTGGAACAATTGCAGCTGAGTAACAGATAATGGTCCAGGAATATTTTCCAAGAACTCATCGTTCTAGATTTACAAGGTAAATGTTATTTTTAGATTAAATAATGATGAATCTCAGTAAACAAAGTGGCACAACCCCAATCAGATTCCTGATAAAGCAAATAAAACTACAAAAGGACAGCACAGTCTGTCAATATAACACAAATTCAGAAATCCAGTTCTTATTCCTGGTCTTACAGAGATTCTGGATTTCCCTAAGCATATGCTACCCTGTGCCTCATGTGCCCATTTGCAAAATGAAGATCATAGTCTTTTTTCTCCAAGAGCAGTAGTTTTGAAATTTCTGGGTGTAGAAGTATCACTAGAGAATTCTGAATATCACTGTGGGTCTGAGTAGAACTTGAGAATCTGCATTTTAATAAGCACCACAGGTGATTTTGTTGCAAATGGTCCACAGAGCACATGCTGAGAAATACTGCCTTGAGCCATGGAAAATAACTCTAAGACATTAGGAAAGATCTCCTGGTAAACACAAAGCCTTGTTATAAATTGTGAAAGGTAGCCTACGAACAACAATGAAAATAACACCTATAAAGAATATTATTTTTAATAATATTAACATCATCATCATTATCATCTAAACATTTATATAGCACTTACTAGGCATTTACTAAGGATATGACACAGCTTAGCTCTTTTAGTGTTCATTACCACACTGAGTTTGGTACTGTTTCCGTTTTACAGATGGGAAACAAACAAATAACAACAAAAACAAACAAACAAACAAAATAATTGCCCTAAGAAATGCAGCCATCTGGCTCCAGATATCATACTTTTAATCACTGTACCAGTGGTTCTCCAACACTGATACACATTAGATTCACCTGGAGAGCTTTTGTCAAAGCACAAATCAGTGGCCAAACCCCACAGAATTGCTAATTCAGTAGGTCTGGAGTAGGGCCTGAGAATTTGCATTCCTAACAAGTTCCCAGGTGATGCTGATACTGCTGGTCCAGGAGCCAGTCTTTGAGAACCACTGCTCTGTGCTGTACTTTTCATCAGTATAATCCATCACCTCTACATGCTTACACTCTTCCATGTGTTTCACATGGAAAAAGAAGAAAGTCAATATCAATGGAAGAAAAGATGTCTGAAATCTGCTCAGGGGAAAAAAAAAAAACTCTCTGGTTCTCTATTTCCAGCTTAGAAAGTTTACCCAGCTCAGAATGTTTATGTTTTTTACTTCGCAGTTTATTCTCATCTGCCTCCAGTTTACCTTTAAAACTCTTACTCCCTGTCAGCATCACTTCTAAAAACACTCTTGTTCTTTTGAGAGTCATCTCCTCTGCTTTTCACTATAAAGTCATGACTTGGGCTGTTTTTTCCT